TTACTGTATGCCTATTTGTCAATGAAAGTTCACAATTTCTGCCTCAAATGGTCAGTTTAGAATTCTTGTCACAACAGTATCATCCCTAACCATATATCTAACATAAGTTAGTTAATATATGAACTAGAAATGTTTAAACAAAGCCATATTTGCAAAAGTTGTATTTATGAAGATATCAGTCTGGTGCATAAATTCACTAAAAGTTTGATTGAAAAAACTGCTTACATCTGATTTTTGCATAACTTCCTAGCACAGTTATTGTTTACTTTACAAAAGACCTTTAAAATAAAAAAATCATAGCATTTACAAGTTAAATAATCTGTTTTATGACTCAGGGGTAGGCATTTTTCTCTGTTTTTTGTCCCTGGGGCCTCACAATTCCTAATTTTTTTCCCTGTTTCTAGCAATGTGGAATATTTACTACTATTACATATTTAGGGTAGAACACACTATTGTAAGTTTTATTGAGGTCTTTTTGTTATTCTAGCTTGTACTTTTCTATGCCGCGGTCACAAAAAAGCACGTTTAGGCGTTACGGCTTACTTTTGGGTTATCGACACGACAAAAACACCCCATCAGAAATATTTAGGAAGGATCAATAAGTTGCAATTACTGCGAAGAGTAAATATAAACACTTCTAAACAATTTAAATTACAAATAGGCATATATTATGAATTTATTTTGAATTCAGTGCTTTAAGTAAACCATGCATACTGTAAACTGTGAATTTATGCTGAGTCATCATAGTTAAGGCCCAGGATTTTCTCAATCTTCATGAAATATTTATAAAACTTCATATTTGAGTCAAATTCTTTACAATCTCTGAGACAAACCAGATTTTGTGAAATTCTGTATGTTCTATTTTTTAACCTTATTTATCTCACCTGCTTTTTGAAGTTTTCGGTCAAACTCTTTTGAAAACATGATGATTTTATCCTTCCCATTTCGTCAATTCCCTCAGTTCTTGGTCATTACCTTCATTTGTTTCTTCTTAATCGATTATAAAGGTTTTATCATCGGTTCAATACTGTCGCCTTAACTTTGCAACTCTTTTCATTTGGTATTTTATATATGTGTATGAATAGTATTGTGTGATTTTATTTGGGTTATGGATTGAATGAGGAGTTCCTCGATCTCCTATAAATGGAAGTTACGATTACTTACAGATACAGACACAGATATGGCCTCAAATCTTTTTTTAATTGATTTTATTTTATTATTGGTTGCTTAATGTCCAGTGGCATATATTTCATGCATGTTCAGGACGAGAACAAATTAACAATAAATACTATAATGGGTAGGTCCTGTTATAGAAGTCGTCTGGGATGAAGGTCGGGGATATTTGGACTGCCACTTGAAAATTAGGGTAAATTGGATTGGGACAGAAATTTTGCCTTGCAACAGCCTACCTACGGACCCCTCAAAGAGTTGCTGCAAGGGTTCTTGATGTGCAGAGAGCGCAGCGGATTCAAGTCCCCATTCTGACCGGACCTGGCTGCATACTTAAAGCCGACTATACGTTATGAGCTTTTCTCATTGTTAAAGGCCGTTCGGTTGCCTATAACTGCTTACATCCACTTCATTTGAATTTTGGTGGATAGTTGTCTCAATGGCAATCATTCCACATCTCCTTTTTTAATATTGTACATCCTGCACAGCCTAACGGACGCATCACTTTGGCAAATGTTTTACTATAGGTCGGAGGAAGACCTGTAGTGACTATATTTTAATTCCCCAGTCACTCTTGTTTTTTTTTAATTGAACATACGTGTTTAACCAAAAAATAAGAAAAAAACTAAGGATGTATATGTGCTTGAATGAGTGAGCAGCTAATGAGTGGGACATACAAAGAACAGCAAAATCCATATCAGGTAAGTTTTGGCTGAGGAAATTGGAACCTTTTTTTTTAAACTAAATACATCGGTTAATAATTTCTAGATTTTTCAACAGCGATTTACGAAAAAATGTTATGTAATTGATATCATTACATAAGTAGTGACTACTGAGCTGATGCGGTTCATTCATTTGTTGATATTCAGAAACATAGTTTTTTTTCGTCTTTAGTGTTCGGTTTACATTGATGCATTAACAGTTATATCACACGCCCTGACCGTAATATGATACATAATATTAAGCCCAACATCAATTAACCACGGTTTTATCGCTGATATTCTATTCTTGAAGGTAAACGGAAACCAATTATACATTTTAAATTTTCAAACCTCACTGCAGTTTACAGATGGTCTTCAGCACGTGGTGTTGTCCATCTGATTGCATTATCCGGCTTTGACTCATTACCTTTTTAAAAATAATTTCGACTTTCAATGACTATGAAAATATGTTCCGTAAATTTATGTTTAAATATATAAAACCGATCATCTGAGAAAAAAAACATTCAAACCGGTGCTAGGACGTTCTTGAACTTGCAGTGGGGTGAGAGTTTTTTTTTTTTTTTTTTTTTGTTGCTCCGTGTTGAAGACCACTCTGTGACTTTGAGACGAAAAACAGCAATAAAAGCGCTGTTCCTATGCTTTTTGTATTTCTTGCTGTGCATATACTGATTTTGGATCATGGATTGATACCCCATATCCTTTCTTTTCTATGGAAGTATCATTTACAGCCAAAATTATTATTATTCTCTGTTTCCTTTATCACTCAATCTTCCAAAAAGACTTATCTTAATGACCCAAATACAAGATTTGCTATGAAATCATATTCATTAGTTTGAATTATTTTTCATTACTTTCCCTTGTTAAATATTTCGCAATTTCATCTGAATATACATGATAAACGTGTTTTAGTTTTTATCTGGGATTATATAGTGTACCTTTTTTGTAGAAAATCATTTTTTGTATTTCATCATCTTTAGAGGTTGTCTAGATTATAATTTGATTATTAAAGGTACTGTATTGTAATTTAATAAAAAATATAGCTTAGCAGAACATTTCATAATGTAAATTTCTACCGACATTTAGTTTTTTTTTAAATCAGTGAGATGATTAATGTAATTTGTATTGCCCTAAAATAACTACAATTTATCATTTATTTTAGCGTACTTGTTTTTCTCATTTTTTTTGGAAAAAAAATTAAATGATACACATTCCTTAACTCATGATATAAAATGTGATGTACAAAAGGACCAATATGTCTGGAACTGTCTTTCCAGTAATTATATGACCTTTTGCAATTAATCACGCTTAGTCAAACGTTTTTTTTTCTCATGATATTGTGTGTTACAAGTCCGGAATATAATACTAATTTTATAGTACATGCTACAGTAGTAGTGCTTGTTTGCAATTAATAGATTATGTGCTCTTATGTTGTATTGTTAACCGGTCCCAGGTTAGGAGGAATGTTTGGCACCAGCAAACATATCTTACCCCGCCATATTCTGTATGTGCCTAGATTTTATACACACAGAAGAAGAAGTTTACTTAACAAGAAAATTATTTTCATTTATCTGTGTATAATATGACGCAGGTTTTTTTCAAAAGTGATGATTTTGTAAATATTGTTTAACAATTCACAGTGGTATCATACTTTAACTTTGTTTCGACCTGTTTATTTACTTTTGACTTTAGTTATTTATCCCTTATAATTTTTAATAACTATGTATTTGCATTCAGGTATCACAGATCAAAGTTATTCGTTCATTGTGTGTTAATTTACGTTTTTTGATTGAGTTAAGTCTTCCAATTGATATTTTATAGTGTGTCTTTCTATGTTGTGATGTTATACTATTGTTTCAGAAAAAGGGAGAAGGTTTGGTACCATTAAAACGTGTAATCCCGCTGCAAATGTTTGCACCTGTCCTAAGTCAGGAATCTGATGTACAGTAGTTGTCGTCTGTTTATGTAGTTCATACGTGTTTCTCGTTTTTATATAGATTTAGACCGTTGGTTTTCCCGTTTGAATTGTTTTACACTTGTAATTTTTGGGGCCCTTTATAGCTTGCTGTTCGGTGTGAGTCAATGCTCCGTGTTGAAGGCCGTACCTTGACCTATAATGATTTACTTTTTTAAAATGTTACTTGGATGTAGAGTTGTCTCATTGGCACTCATACCACATCTTCCTATATCTATCCAAAGTCACCAAACTGTAATTCAGTTGTTGTTGTTTGTTGTTATGTGTCATTTTTGGTTTTCGTTAATGGTTTTGTATATAAATCAGGCTTTTAGTTTTCTCTTTTGAATTGTTTTATATAAATTCGTCATTTCAGGGATCTTAATAGCTAATAATATGCGAATGGGTTTTGATCATTGGTGAATGTCGTAAGGCGGGCTTATAGTTGTTAACATTTTCATTTAGTCTCTGGCGAGGAGTTGTGTCATTGATAATCATACATAATCTTTTTTTCAATATAATTATATAACTTTTGAAGAATATTTGGACTTTTATAACATCTAGGTATTTCAAAGTTGAAGTTATTCTGTTTGTGAATGATATCTTGCCTGTTTATCTGTGAATAAGAACGAGATGCACTGAAACATAGAGCTACCGCTATTGAACACAAATTAAGAATACATTTTCAATTTGGGCCCTTTATATGCGCTATTGGTTTTGCTCATTCTTGAAGGCCATACCTTGACCGATAGTTGTTAACTTCTATGTCATTTGGCCTCTGGTGAAGAGTTGTCTCGTTGGCAATCATACCACATCTTATAATTTTTATTAAATTGTTTTCAAGACATTGGTGGTCCAAACGTTTTCGAAAAGGAAATTAAAAGGTTCCTTACTTGTCATTTGAAAAACGCTTTGACTTAAAATAGCAGTGATGATAGACCATTTTGTCAGTAAAATAAAATTGCGTTGAAATCTGAAAACATTTTGAATGCTGTTATTTTCCTATATTTTTATCTACCTGTTGTCAAAGATTGCTATGTTTAACACCGAAACCGATAGTTTTTGCTAAAGTTAACAGATTTGGTGGTACGTAATTCGCGTTAAACAATTATTTAATTTAACTTGTTTGAATATGTTTATTTTCAAAAGAGAACGAGAACAGTTTTGGAATCATGTACATCGTAACGATCATTGTAATAATAAGTTCATGCAAACGGCTTGTGCTAATCCGTGTATAGAATTGTCCTGTGTTTGCCAAGGCACAGAAGTGAAATGTAACCAGAAAAAATTAGTGAATATACCTGATGGTATACCTACTACTACAAAAACATTGTAAGTATGGTTCGCTTTTGTTTTTTACCATCTCTCTCTCTCTCTCTTTCTCTCTCTCGCCTCTCTCTCTCTCTCTCTCTCTCTCTCTCTCCTCTCTCTCTCTCTCTCTCTCTCTCTCTCTCTCTCTCTCTCTCCTCTTCTCTCTCTCTCTCTCTCTAAAACAATTGTAAGTATGGTTCGCTTTTGTAATTTACCATCTCTCTCTCTCTCTCAAAACAATTGTATGGTTTGCTTTTGTATTTTACCAACTCTCTCTCTCTCTCTCCTCTCTCTCTCTCTCTCTCTCTCTCTCTCTCTCTCTCTCTCTCTCTCTCTCTCTCTAAAACAATTGTAAGTATGGTTCGCTTTTGTAATTTACCATCTCTCTCTCTCTCTCAAAACAATTGTATGGTTTGCTCTTGTATTTTATCATATCTCTCTCTCTCTCTCTCTCTCTCTCTCTCTCTCTCTCTCTCTCTCTCTCTCTCTCTCTCTCTCTCTCTCTCTCTCTCTCTCTCTCAATATAGACATATTAATCATAAACACTTCTTTGGCTGTTCGTCAAATAAGTAACACGAAGCCTTTAAAAACATACAGTAAAACATAATGTTGATCATTAAGTTGCGTCTTTTGTGCTTCTGCTTTTTTGTTATGTGATCTATGTGTCGCTCTAATTGGTAAAGCCCTTTCACACATTGTTTTTTCAATTTGAACTTATTTTATGTTGTTACACCATGGTCACAGGTAAACTTTGACGGTTGACAGTGGCGTATATTAGCTTTCATTTCTTGTAAGGTAAATGATTGAATGACTCAATGTGCTTAGGAAGGGATGACCAATGGACAAAACCCGCGTCCCAAAACAGTTTTCAGCATGGTTTTCAGCAAAACAGTTTAAGCCTTCCGGAGTACCTGAGATCACCCTTAGTATTTGGTGGGGTTCGTGTTGCTCAGTCATTAGTTTTCTATGTGGTGTTTTGTATACTGTTGTTTGTCTTTTTATTTTTTGGCCATGACGTTGTCAGGTTATTTTCGACTTATGAGTTTGAGAGTCCTTTTGGTATCTTTCGCCTCACTTTTAAAGATGAAAAAGGCAATTTTGTTTATGCTTGCTTTTCGTACAGTGGAACATATTTCGTACATATTCGTTTCGAAAACAAATCAACAATAAATCCAGTAATTCTCTAGTTGCGCTAAATGAACCCCAACATAGTTTTTATGAGCATGCCCCCAGTCACGTCACATTACGGAAAGTGTCCACCTTATGAAAAGGACACTGTTTTGAGTAAACAAGAAAATCCACAGATTTGAGTGTCATGACGTCACGGATATAGATTTAAGGGAAGGTTATATATTTGAGCTGTACATAGATTTGACGCTTACACAGTTTCTCCGTGTTGATACACGTTTACCTTTTTTTCTCCTGAGTTTTATAGATGAATGAGATTGCAGGATAGTTTGAAAAAGCTAATTTAAAAACGCGTGTCTAGTTCAATGAATTTGAATAATGGTTTAATGACTATTCATTGATCCTTTATCTATTTCTAGAGATGTGCAACAAAACAAAATTTCAACTATAGCAGAAGATACGTTTAGTAAACTTACGTCATTGGAAATGCTGTAAGTATTGTTTATTCAATTAATGTATGACTTAAATTCCAGCTGTCTAATTCAATGGTCGACATTTTAAATTTTTTATCGTCTCTTATCATGTTTATGGTCATACTGCTTTTCAAACATGTATACATCCTTGAATTTCAACCTTTAGTAACTGTTAAGAATTCCTAAATAATTCAAAATCCAGAAAAGCGCCTCAATTTGCAAACACCAAATGTAAGAAGTTTTGCTTGTATTAATATTTATCATTTTTGCATCTTAACCATTCCTAAACTGTCCGTGTATCAATTTATTAATCATTAGAAACAAAGTTTATAATACACTCAGACAAAGTTGATTTTGGTTTGATTTGGCTATCATGTCAAGGTACCTTTTGGTCATAACGCTCTTTATTTGTACGGTTACTTATTAATCCTTGGCTTTCAAATATGTGGCTTTGAGCGTTCGTGATGAAAATAAATCTAGAAAAGCGCTTCAGACGTATAAAATGTATACATGTAACTTGCTATTTTCATTTGTGTCAGGTAATTTGTAAACAATCCCATGTTCTAACTTGTGTCATAACGACACTGTTGTGTGTACCATTGGTCGCATATTCCTCCTACTTTGCACTTAGATATTGGTGTGACCGTGGAATCACTTAATTGGTGATGCCAAAAAGCCAGAGATGCTTCACCTACATAATTGGATTTAGCAACATATGAATCTCTTTTCTTTTTATAAATTACTGGCATCATTGTAAGTTTTAAACAAACAAACAAATGTATAAACGAACATGAAATGTATTAAAATGTAAGATCCTTCAGTTGTTTTTTTGTTTTTTACGATCTTTGCGTTGGCCTTTCATTATATCAAATATCTAAATTTTTGAAAATATGCGTCAAATTAGAACAATTACATGTAAAAGATTAAGTCAATATGTGCGTTTAATGTTTTAACAAGTGTACTTGTAAATACAAATGTATGTTTATTATTAACGTTTTCAGCCGCCACATCACTGCTAAGCTTCAATGGTGTGTAAAAGAAGATCATTGTTTTTTTTAAGTATTCGTTATTAGTCTTACATTAGTGTGAATTGTGCGCCTGTGCAGCTAAAAAAGACGTCTTATTGACTTGAATATGTTATAGTCATTAAACGCCTCTCTGAAAACATTGATTTGTTCTAAGTATTAATTTAGACAACATTATGGCACAAATAATATTCAGTGTGGGCTTAAATGCAATTCAGGTCAAATGTCCATAGAAAATATAAACATCAAGTAAGGTAATATAGGAATGTTCAGTCAAATCATTTTAAAGTACAAACATTTAACATTCCAGTAATCAACATTGCATTAAATCCATATACGAAGCTAAGGTCGAAATGCTCACCTGGAATACAATTCACCAACTCCTTATCAACTCTTAATGGTTCCAAGGACAACTATTATCCAAGGAAAAATATTATGTACTTTTTTTCCCCGGAAAATATTTTAGAGAGGTGATAAATTCTCAAAATACCTTGATTTCAAGCTATATTGTAAAGGTTTAGATCTAAGATCAGTGTTGTGTTAACTAAATGTCAATAGTGGTTTTTATTTACATTTCATTAAATCTTTACCTCTTTAAAATTTTAACTGGAAATCCAATTTCCGCTACAACAGTCTATGCGTTAGGTCCTCCTATTTTCTGTTAAAGCAGTAAATTTCAATAGTTTTTTTTTATTAACGATATCTTAATCATGATAATTTTTGCATCTATTTTCAGACATTTAGGATTTAACCAAATTTCAACTTGTACAGCAGATATGTTTAATGGTCTTGTATCATTAAAAGTCCTGTAAGTACTTTTTTCATTAATGTTTGACTAAAATTCCAGTTCTCCAATTCTTTGGCAGAAATCGTAAATTGGTTGATCGTCCCTTTTTCGTCAAACAGTTTCCAGAGTATTTATACGAATTGACTTCAATCTTGCTTTTATATTGAACGTTCCGATTGATTGACCCCAATCCAGATTGTTTTATATCAAAAACACGTGTCACGGTCAATAAATTCAAATCATCTTTTACTGTGGATTCATTTATTCTTTTACAATTGTACTTTAACATTGTTATTACATTGGTATTTTCAGATCTTGATCCACAAACTTAATGTCTTTATTCACCTACCATTTTCAGATCTTGATGCATAAACCAAATGTTTGTATCTATATGGTATTTGCAGATATTGACCCACAACCAAAATGTATTTATCTACATTTTATGTGCAGATCATGATCCACAAGCCAAATGTATTTATCTACATTTCATGTGCAGATCATGATCCACACGCCAAATGTATTTATCTACATGGTATGTGCAGATCATGATCCACAAGCTAAGTGTATTTATCTACATGGTATGAGCAGATAATGATCCACAAGCCAAATGTATTTATCTACATGGTATGTGCAGATCATGATCCACAAGCCAGATGTATTTATCTATATGGCATTTTCTTGTAGGTTTTGACCCACAACCCAAATGTATTTATCTACATTTTATGAACAGATCATGATCCACAAGTCAGATGTATTTATCGACATGGTTTGTGCAGAATTTGATCCCCAAGCCAAATGTATTTATCTACATGGTGTGTGCAGATCATGATCCACTATCAAAATGTATTTATGTATATGGCATTTTCAGATCTTGATCCACAAACTAAATGTTGTTATTTACATGGTATTTTCAGATCTTGATCCACAAACTAAATGTCTTTATCGATATGGTATTTTCAGATCTTGATCCACAAACCAAATTCAATTTTGCACAAGCTGCGATTAATGGTGTTGTGTCCTTGTATTCCTTGTTATAATTTGTTTTATGATAGAATAACAAAAGACGGACATTCCAGTTTTCCAATTCTATGGTCGATAACAAGAATTAGTTGATGGTCCCTTATGGTTTTATAGCTTCCCAATTACTTATAAATCATTGGCTTTCTATATTGTTTAGCATTCCTGATAAATGTAACAATTCCGAAAAGGGATTCAATTGGCAAACAACAATTGTATAAAGTTTAATCTTTATTATTATCTCTTATTTTAGCATATAGGTATAATTTGTTATCTTTGTCGACAACCTCACTTCACCACTTATGTCATTATGGCACTGTTGTGTATACCATTTGTCTTATATTCCTTCTAACTTGTATTTAATAACAAATGTGACTGCAGAATCACGTAATTGGTGTCACGTGATTGATGATTCCGAAAAACCAACATTGGTCATGCGGCAGATCTTTTAGTATCAGATGTATTATTACCAAGAATACATTGATAAATCTGGTTAGAAGCATCTCATCCCAATATTTATTTAAGGACTTGTTTACTGTAGTAGTGATAATAGAATAAGATTTTATCAATCTGATTATATAAATTATATAGTTCTTGTGGTATTTAAATATGGAGTACTAATCTATTTTCAGGGTTCTAAGCTATAACCAAATCTCAATAATCGCAGCAGATACGTTTAAGGACCTTCTGTCACTGACAACCCTGTAAGTATTGATTTCAAAATGAAAAAAAGACAAATTCCAGTATTCCAATTATATGATCGACATCATGAATAAGTTGATCGTACACTGTACATTACATTTAAGGAGTTTTATTGTTGTGGTAGAATATTTTCACTGACCAATAAGAACAGACAACGCTATCTATGAACCTTTCAGGAAGTAGTGTCAGCACAGCATGACTCAAGTTCATTCGAGATTGCCAAAACGCAATGTATTGATTGCAGACCTACCGGAAGCATGCAAAAAATCCGTTGTTTATCGTCATTGTCTCATCCAAGGATAGATAAGGCTGTTACCGGTATAAACAACACTGACATGCAAAATATTTTTATGATATATACGTTATTGGAAAATATTTAAAAATGCCATGCATGACTCCTTCGAAGTCTAAAAGGGGTAAGCCTTTTCGATAGCTAGTTACATCAAGTACGACTAGAAAGTCAAACAACAAACACAACTGTTGTATTCGAAAAATGTAAATATTGTTTTACTTACAATTCATTAATTCCTTATCTATTTTCAAATTTTCATTAGGAAACCAAATTTTAATTATAGTAACATATATGTTTACCTTGCTTAAGAATTAATTTTTGAGTCATTGAAAACCCTGTTAGTGTTATTGTTTACAAATGGTTGTCTTAAATAAAAGTCTAATCTTTCAGTCGACATCATCAATTTGCTTATCATCCCATTTGATTCAAATGTTTTTCGACTATTGATAGGCCTTGTCTTTCAATTTTTGTTTTCTTTTGTGCGTTCCTGAGGAATATGACGTCCAGGCTCCTATCAAAAACACATGTCGTGTTCAATAAATTTGAATAATATTTTATTGACGTTCATTAATCTCTTATCTTTTTTTTTCAGAGTATTAGATAATAATAAAATTTCAACTATAGCATCAGATATGTTTAAGGATATTATGTCATTGGATGTCTTGTAAGTACTGTATTTAGGATAAAGAAGTACAGAAATTTGTATTCTCCATTTCTATGGTCGACATTATGAAATTAGTTCATCGTCACTGTTGGTCAAAAAGACTATTGACACACATTGAGTGTCAATAGTTTGGATTTTCGTGAGTGTTCCTGTTGAATGGGACTTTTAGTCTGACTGTAAAGGTTAAAATAAAAGATGTCGTGTCGTGTTCAATAAATTCAAATAATGTTTTACTGACGATTTATTCATATGTTACATGCTCTATTTTCAGAGGTCTAAGCAATAACCAAATTTCAATAATCACAGCAGATACGTTTAAGGGTCTTATGTCACTGGGAACCCTGTAAGTATTGATTTCAAAATTTAAAAAAAAGACTGAAATTCCAATTCTATGATCGACATTATGAATAAGTTGATCGTCCCGAATGGTAATACAGTTTTTCAAGCTTTTATAAATTGGTGGCTTCCTATTTTTAATATTCCAGATTAATGAATTCATCAAGAAAAGCGTTTTGATTGGCATACACCAAATGAATAAACTATTTTTTATCATTATCTTTATTTTCGCTCTTAGCTTATAACATTTATTCTTTGTCATCAATGCTACATGGCCACTTATTTATTCTGATATTGTTGCTTGTACCAATTGTGTTATGTGCTTGGAATCATGTCATTGGCGATGCAAGAAAAGCAACAGATACTTAAACGACAGCATGATTATTAAACAACAGATGTAACTCTTTATATAAATTACTAAGATGTTAACGAACGTAAAAAATGTTAAAAAAAACCGAATATGGGATATATAAAATTGCTACTCCTGAGATTTTCCGTTTTACGTGCTTTTCGTTGACTTTTCATACTCACAATTATTCATTTTAAATGTTTCTCAATCAAAGGGTCTAGACAGTATATGCAGTCAATTTTCAAATAATGTAATACCTATGTAAACGACGGTTACCAGCCGCAACATCTTTGATAACTTCGATGATGGATACAAAATATCATATGTTTTTTTTTAATGAGTTCGTAATCATTCTGACAAGCGATTTAACGAGGTATGACAAATAGGGCTGTTTGAATATCTAGAAAACAAGGATAACATAAAAAAAAAATGAGCAATAAAAAGACATATATTTGATGAATGCTTAAACGCGTTTTTTTTGTTTTGTTTTTTTTCTGTTTAATTAAAGGAATAACTGCACAATAGAGACGCTCTATACGCTGTATACTACTCAAAATAAGTTTCTCACACCCCATTTTAAACATGTTACAAGTTCCTAGAATAATATATGAATAGGAAATACACAAACAAATTGTTGTCTGCATTCTGGAGAATTTGTGTTTCTTCTATTGTTAACTGTTTGTAATTTACATTAAGTTGTTGATATTTTGGAATATTTTGGAAACGAGGTGACGTCATAAGATGAACAACTCAATAGAAAGTGCTAAGACAATAATGGCCCACTTGAATCGATTTTTATCAATTACAAAATTTATCTGTACGGGACTTGCAAATCACAATGCCTTATTAGCCCGTGCAATGCGGTTAAACATGAATTTGTCCACCTTATATAACGTGTGTGCTGTTTTATTGCTATCGGTAGAGAATGTTAAATGAACGATGTGGACACACAACAATATCTATGGATGTTTCCGGAAGGTTAGTCAGCACGAAATGATTGAAGAACGTTATGAGTCTTGATGACAGACCTGTTCGAAGCATCCGAAGAGCCTTTTGCCTGTCCACATTGCTCAGACAATGTGAGGACCAGAGTTTTTGAGGAATGTTATGATTTTATTCAGATGATGACGTCCCTTCATGTACGAAGGTCGAAAATATGGAGTTCGATAAAAGTAACAAAAGAAAAAAAATAGTTTCATGAATTAAGCCATGCATTTAATCCTTGTACCATGCTGTTAAAACGGGTGTTGCTAAACATGTTTTAGTTATATACCAATTATTAGAAACTATATATTTCCAACTGACGAGAATCATGCCTTTAAAGTCTTAAAAGGATCAGTTATTTTCGATAGGTAGTGACTTCAAGTCAGATTCTAAAGGTGTATATCAATACTAAATGTCGTATTCAATAAACCTGAATAATGTTTTACTGACGATTCATTAATCCCTTGTCTATTTTCAGCATTTTATCAAGAAACCAAATATCAACTATAGCAAAAAATGCGTTTAAGGATCTTATATCATTAAAATATTTGTAAGTTATATTTTTTACTAATGGTTATCCTAAATTTCATTCTCCAAATATTTTGTCAACATTAAAATTTGTTTATCGTTCCGTTTGGTCAGACCTTTCTCAGCTATTTAAACACATTGACTTTTAAATTTTTAGTTTGCTTTGTGAATATCGAATGAATGCGAATTCAATTCAGACTGGAAAGGGTCTTTATATTGGAAATAAACACATTTATTCTAAAACCAGTTGTTAGTATGATAAGGTATTGTTCTTCTCATATATTTTATAATGGTATGATACTAAACACCTAACGAGGGGCATGATGCTTGATTTTCACATAATGAATACATAATCTTTCAATCAGTTTAATTGAGGTCTGGAGCTGGCATGTCAGTAACTGCTAGTAGTCCTTTGTAAATTTATGTATCATTGTCATTTTGCTTAGTTTCTTTTGTTACTTATTCTGACATCGGACTCGGACTGCTTTTAAACTGAGTTTTACTCTGCGTATTGCTGTGTGTTTGTTTATTCTACATTGGCTAGATGTATAAGGGGAGGGTGGAGATCTCCCAAAACATGTTTAACCCCGCCGCATTGTTGCGCCTGTCCCAAATCAGGAGCCTCTGACTTTGTTAATCTTGTATGTTTTTTTTAATTTTAGTTCATTTATATGTTTTGGAGTTTAAGTATGATGTCCATTTTCACTGAACTAGTACCCTTTTTTTTTTGTTTAGGTGCCAGGTGAAGCCCGCCTCTGGGTGCGGGATTTTCTCGCTGTGTTGAAGACCCATTGGTGGCATTCGGCTGTTGTCTGCTCTTTGGTCGGGTTGTTGTCTCTTTGACACATTCCCCATTTCCATTCTCAATTTTATTAATATCATATGTTTTGTACAATAAATTTAAATAGTGTTTTACTGACGATTCGTTAATCTATTATCTATTTTAGATATTTAGATTACAACGAAATTTCAACTATTGCAAGAGATACGTTTAAGGGTCTTGTGTCATTAACTTACATGTAAGTATGTTTTTTTACAGAAAAAAGTACTGAAATTCTAGGTCTCCTAATATATGGTCGACATCATATATTGGTTCGTAAAACTATTATTCGACTATTGACACATTGAGTGTTATTTTGTTTTTCGTGAGCGTTCTTGGTGAATGTGACGTTCAGCCTGACAGGATAGGTTAACAATTAAAAAAACTATAATTGTGTTACTGCCTATTCATCAATGTCAGTTATAAGAACATATACTTTTAAGGATCTTGTGTCATATGCATACTGGTTAGTATTGTTGTTATGACAAGAAAGACTGAAATTCTGGTTCTCCAATTCTACTAATTGTAAACAATTCTGACCTAAAACAGTCAATTTGATCTGTACAGCTCTTTAGAAAACTGAACAATAAATGAGATAAATCAGACTTTTTCACTGCGGTAAATTCAGTACTGTTGAGACAATTCGCTTGCAATGAAGTAAGATCGTTCCGTCTACAGGTCTATGTGCAGTACAAGTTATTTACCTGTGCATAACAACAACATTATAAAATTGTCTGAAAAGCTTCTGAACAGTAATGGATTGACTGCCAGACAACTGTCTGAACGGGATGGAATTTATTAATGTTTTTACGTATTAATAATTGCATTGTTTTCAATTGTTTAGGTCTGAGCGTTCGTGATGATTGTAAAAAAAGCGCTTCGGACGCACGAAATTTATAAAGTATCATTTTAGAAAAACTCTATGTTCACATTAGTTTTCCGTGTATGCTAAAGGTTGAAACGTCTCGTACAATTTAGGTTTGTTTTAATATAACCATGTGGAGAATCAAGTTTGAATGGTAGATATTTGGTTGTTACTGTTATAGAGGTAGTGTTCAGTCACAGTGAAAAAAATTGTAAAGATGTTGAAACGATCCAGATAATATTACAGAGTCCAAGTTATTATAACAAGTAATCTATTCAAGGGGCTAATTTTTATAGCAATAATTTTCTGGAATGTATTACAACAACTGTTACACAAATCAAAATTCGTATCAAGTAAAGCGACTGTCAGGCAAGAAATAAAAAAAAAAGAATAATAATCATGTGAAACTAACGGTTTCCGTTAAACATGGAAATCATTACAGTTTATTGCAACGTATTTAATAATATTAGGTAACCTTTGCCTGTTTTCATGACAAAACATTATTGAAAGTGAATAACATTAACAACACTACCTAAATATCCCAAACAGGTTAAAAAATGAGTGTTTCCATGTCATATGCATGTTTCGACTGATATGAAAATTTTCAAACTAATACATGAATCTGAATTTTGAAAAAACGAAATCAAAAGGTAAATGCTTTGGGTTGAAAACTCTGTTATCAGCCATTGTCATTATCTGGAACATTAATTGGGATTTAAGATTATGTTGAAACAGGGGATGCTGATAGAGTTTTTTTTTTTGTGAATGGGATGTATACACAACAGTTTCTGCATCAATGATCGAAAATAAGAAAATTCATTGAAACAAGAAAAGGTTGAGGTAGGTTTAAAATGTAGATAGAACTTTAAAAATGGGGAATCATAATTCCTAGAAAGACGAATATTGTGAAAAGAAAAAAAACCGAATAGATAAGAATCACATATATATTTTCCTAAAAAATAATAGTTGAACACATGGTAAACACTGCGACGTTATGAGGGCCTTGTATAACATTGGTATCTATTGAATAGTTGGTAGGTAATCCATGTTGCCAATGGCGGAATAGAATAGATAGACTTCTGAATTTGAACGTTTCCGTTGTAGCGTGCCTGTAGCTATTCCCGGATGTCGTTATTTTGGTTCAATGATTGTCTTATCTTAAAATGTTTAATTGTTTCTTAATTCATCTTGCCAATGGCATGATATCCAAAAGTAAAAACATAAACAAGTCGACTTGGAGTCTATCGATTGTTATCTTTAACGTAGCGCGTTCAATTAGGGGGTCAGTGAAGTAAAAAGAGTGTCTTCGTATAATTTCCAATTTATGTCCTGCATATCCACAGTATAAGTGTTCCAAGCCATGAGACATATATCAATCAATTAGTGTTTTTCATTTTCCAGTGTAGCTCTTTTCATGACAATATTCACTAAAAAATCAATCTTAAAAAAATATTGTTTAATGAATATAATGGGATCTGATGTGATTGCCAATGATACAAATACTCACAGAGCCCACATGACGTGGATGTAAGCAACTGTAAGTCATAGTTTTTGGCCTTCAACAATGAGCAAAACCATTCAGTTAAGTTCGCTAAAAAAGGCCCGACATGACAAAATGTGAGACAATTCAAACGCAAAAAATCCAACGGACAAAACATTAAAAACCTTAGATTGGTACGAAGCACAAAAAAGAGACAACAAACATAATGACAAAACGCACAGTGTACCGATATAAGAGTACTAGCTGTTACTGAAAGCTAGTTAAAAGCCAAAATATTCTATCATACTAAAGGATGGTTCAAAACTGTTATAAGTTGAAATCGTAAAAAAGTCTCAGATATTATATCATTTAATTCAATTTGACAAATCTAACTTTTTAAATGTTTTCATTTCAGAACTTTAACTGGCAACGACTTTACATCAATATCACCCAATATATTTAGAAAAATTACAAATATAACCAGACTGTACGTGATGTTTACATATTTATTTTACTATAATAAGCAATGTCATATGATAATAAAAATAATCAAAGAACAAAAGAACAAATAAATGAAAAAAAGTTTGTTTACCTTAAGTCGTTTTGTAAGTTGCTTCTTGTGTATATATTTTTGTTTTTTATTTTGTTTTAACTAGAAACAAGTTTATTATATATCATCGCTGCAAAGAACTAGTTAACTTTGATTTTATTATCAATTTAAGACGACGTGCTATGATTGCCAATGAAACAAATCTCCACAAGAGACCAAATGACACAGAAATTAACAACTATAGGTCACCGGACGGCCTTCAACGATGAGTAAAAATTATACTGCATAGTCATTTATCAAAGGCCACGAAATGACCAATGTAAAACAATTCGAACAAACGAGCAAACTAACGGCCTAATCTATGTACAAATTGATAAACGAAAAACAAATATGCAGCCACAAACGACAACCACTGAATTACAAGATCCTGATTGGGGACAGGCACATACAGAATGTGGCGGGTTTGAACAAGTTTGTTGGCGCAAAAACCTCCCCTAACCTTGGACAGCGGTGTAACCGCTCAAAATAAGAATAAAATATGCAAAACAATAAACGACAAAAAATATGAGAAAGAGCAAAACACTACAACGACTCAATTACAGGCTCCTGACTTGGGACAGACACATGTAGTATGTGGCGGGGTTAAACTAGTTTAAAGGCGCGCCAACCCCCTCCCTAACCTGAGAAAGTGGTATAACAGTTCAACATAAGAACAATCTATAAAAATCAGTTGAAAAGGTCTTAACTTATCAATTCGATACAGAGCAAAAATACATCTAACAAAATCACAGAGTAGACGTGGCAGGGTACTTATACATCCCCACAACAAAAAGACATCAAGTACCGATCTGATAGTTCTCGCAGTTACTAACAGCTAATTCAAAGCCAATAACAACCAATTAAAAAACAATCATGCATCTAAGACTAAAATATCAATCAGTACACATCAAACATCCAATGGATTAAGAGTAAAGACGTCATAAACATGACCTTGATGTAACTTCTTTTGTTTTTGTTGTTTTATTTTTAAACACCATTATAATGTAATAGTTAAGCGCACTCAACGTTTATTTTTCAGCTATCTTGGCTACAACTCAATATGTTGCAATATGACCGATTTGTTCAAATGGAAAGCTTCTCAAACTGAACTCAATGAATTTGTAGGAAATTGCCTTGACTTTGATGCACTCACGGAAATCTCTGACTTTAACATATCAAACTGTACAATTCAGGGTAAGCCATTAATTTAAATGACTATCAGGACTAAAGCCTTGATTATAAGGTCAGTCATCTCTAAACGATAATAAATTCATTCCACAGAGAGAGAAAGTTCATAAAATAAGAAACAAACTATAAAATAAAAGGCACCAGTAAATGAGAAATTAAATCGGGTTCTAAAGCATAGTATGTTGTCCATGCATCACTAGTGACATTAATATTGTTGCTATTATCACATTAATTGTCTGTCTACGTCATCGGTTGTTAGGGGCGAATCATATTGGGTGATGTGGCGGTTGTGACTACTAAAACGGAACAAAACGTTGGTATTTTTTGTTAACAGAATTGTTCATCAAATATCTAATAGAAACATAACATCTTCATTTTCATGTCTATTTGCAAATCATTACGTATGAGTTCTCTTTCCCAGTCGTCTGAGTCATCCTCTGTTGGTATCGAATCGTCGAACTATGGGTCTATGTTGGGTGACAAATTAAGTTGTTTAGCAAGTTCACCCAGTGGTACATCATCGTCGTCGTCGTCGTTATCATCTGCGGTGCTATCAACTGTGTCTTGGATCACAAGATGGAAAGCCTGCCACTCAAAAGCACTTCTGAATTGTGGATTCTTTTGTGTTGTTCCACGCTCTAGTTACCCAGTAAATGGCGTCTAGCACATTTATCTCTCTGCAGAGTTCAGCGGCTGATTGTGTCTGATCTATCTTGGTGAGTAAGGAGGAAATCATTAATTTGCGGTAGCGTGCTTTGAAAGCTCTAATGCCCTCGTCTAATGGCTGAAGTACTGAAGTAGTGTTTGCTGGTAGGAACTTGAGTTTCAGATTGCTTAGACTGAGTTCTTTGAGTGGGAAGATGCGTTGTCAAGGAACATGAGTATGTGTCGGCGCTGTAGTCTCATAGTTGTGTTGACTGTGCGTAACCAGTCGATGAAGGCATTAGTTGTCATCCAGGCTTTCTTGTTCGAGAAGAAGGTAACTGGCAGGTTTCCTTCGTTGACGTTCTTGAAGCAGCGTGGGTTGAACGACTTTCCTACGACAAATGGTTTCAACTTTTCACCAGTGGAGCTGCAGGCGAACATGACGGTATTGATTTGAAATTGGCAGGTAAACACTAGTCAGTCGCCATGCAGGTGTTCTAATTGACCGGATTAACGTGTTTGTTTACATAACAATAATATGTATGGATGGATGATTTCAAATGACAAGGCCTGTTTTATGAGGTGATATTTTATTGATTTTGATTACACAAATACACAAATAACGGCCGGTATCCGGTTTAAAGGGATGGCCGGTTTTATAAGGTTACCTGACCGTTTATTTACGTACACGTCGGCCGGGACTTCTTGATTTGGCCAGTATGAAGGGAGAACCGGTATTAAGAGGGACCGGTTTAGAGAAGTTTAACTGTTTACTCTATAATCAGATGCATTTCTAATAAATACACACATGATACAAGTTACAATTCGATGTTCCAAGAAAATTTTCTCGCATATACGATTTGTTAACTTAATTAAAAAAATATTTCATCATTGTAATGATATTTGCATTGCCGGTGTTTATGGTCACCAAGTCCTGTGAGAGTCTAGTTGCATGTTATGGTAAGTTCAAGATGGCAAAATAACCTGGATCACTGTTGATAAAATAGTTTTTAACGCATATGACATGTTTATGGAATTTTGAAAGGACAATATAGTTTCAGATAGATATTTAATATCAAACAAATATATATAGTAAAAAGAATGTATCAAATATATTGTTTACAGATAAAAAAAATATATATATCTTAAAAATGTTTCTGAATTCTTTTATTATGATATTTGTATTTCAGTGGATGGTCAGTGGGGCTCTTGGTCAACAACATTATGTTCCGTGACATGCGGAAGTGGCACAAAATATAGGAATCGAATTTGCAATAACCCTTTGCCTTCTGACGAGGGAAAATATTGTGTTGGTAATGACACCGAGATATCACAGTGTAACCTAGGAGATTGTTCAGGTACATGTTGCGTTCATTTCAGGGAGAAAATGACCTGAAGATATGGTTCACACAGATTTTACTGCAACTAACTATAAAATTTAATGTTGTTTTTGAAACTTTGTTATTTATATGAAACAAAAGAAAGTGATGATCATGTTTTTAGCAAGAAGCGCTTCCTCCACAGCATCATTTTGTATTTACAGATCTTCATATATAGAACGTATACATAATAGGTAATGGGTTGGTGTCGTTCGTGTTGCTCAGTCTTTAGCTGTCTATGTTTTTGTTGTGGACTGCTGCTTGCTTCTTGGTTGTTTTTCGTTTTTGGCTATGGCTTTGTCAGTTCGTTTCGACTTATGAGTTTGATTACCCCTTTGGAACAAAACGTTGGTATGTTTTGTTAACAGAATTGTTCATCAAATATCTAATAGAAACATAACATCTTCATTTTCATGTCAATTTGCAAATCATTACGTATGAGTTCTCTTTCCAAGTCGTCTGAGTCATCCTCTGTTGGTATCGAATCGTCGAAGCATGGGTCTATGTTGGGTGACACATTAAGTTGTTTAGCAAGTTTACTCAGTGGTACATCATCGTCGTCGTCGTCGTTATCATCTGCGGTGCTATCAACTGTGTCTGGATCACAAGATGGAAAGCCTGCCACTCAAGAGCACTTCTGAATTGTGGATTCTTTTGTGTTGTTCCACGCTCTAGTTACCCAGTAAATGGCGTCTAGCACATTTATCTCTCTGCAGAGTTCAGCGGCTAATTGTGTCTGATCTATCTTGGTGAGTAAGGAGGAAAACATTAATTTGCGGTAGCGTGCTTTTAAAGCTCGAATGCCCTTGTCTAGTGGCTGAAGTACTGAAGTAGTGTTTGCTGGTAGAAACTTGAGTTTCAGATTGCTTAGACTTAGATCTTTGAGTGGGAAGATGCGTTGTCCAGGAACATGAGTATGTGTCGGCGCTGTAGTCTCATAGTTGTGTTGACTGTGCGTAACCAGTCGATGAAGGCATTAGTTGTCATCCAGGCTTTCATGTTCGAGAAGTAGGTAACTGGCAGGTTTCCTTCGTTGACGTTCTTGAAGCAGCATGGGTTGAACGACTTTCCTACGACAAGTGGTTTCAACTTTTCACCAGTGGAGCTGCAGGCGAACATGACGGTATGATTTGAAATTGGCAGGTAAACACTAGTCAGTCGCCATGCAGGTGTTCTAATTGACCGGATTAACGTGCTTGTTTACATAACAATAATATGTATGGATGGATGATTTCAAATGGCAAGGCCTGTTTTATGAGGTGATATTTTATTGATATTGATTACACAAATACACAAATAACGGCCGGTATCCGGTTTAAAGGAATGGCCGGTTTTATAAGGTTACCTGACCGTTTATTTACGTACACGTCGGCCGGGACTTCTTGATTTGGCCAGTATGAAGGGAGAACCGGTATTAAGAGGGACCGGTTTAGAGAAGTTTCACTGTTTACTCTATAATCAGATGCATTACTAATAAATACACACATGATACAAGTTACAATTCGATGTTCCAAGAAAATTTTCTCGCATATACGATTTGTAAACTTAATTAAAAAAATATTTCAGCATTGTAATGATATTTGCATTGCCGTTGTTTATGGTCACCAAGTCCTGTGAGAGTCTAGTTGCATGTTATGGTAAGTTCAAGATAGCAAAATAACCTGGATCACTGTTGATAAAATAGTTTTTAACGCATATGACATGTTTATGGAATTTTGAAAGGACAATATAGTTTCAGATAGATATTTAATATCAAACAAATATATATAGTAAAAAGAATGTATCAAATAATGTTTGTTACAGACAAAAAACTATATATATATAGCTTTAAAATGTTTCTGAATTCTTTTATTATGATATTTGTATTTCAGTGGATGGTCAGTGGGGCTCTTGGTCAACAACATTATGTTCCGTGACATGCGGAAGTGGCACAGAATATAGGAATCGAATTTGCAATAACCCCTCGCCTTCTGACGAGGGAAAATATTGTGTTGGTAATGACACCGAGATATCACAGTGTAACCTAGGAGATTGTTCAGGTACATGTTGCGTTCAGTTCAGGGTAAAAAATGACCTGAAGATATGGTTCAAACAGATTTTACTGCAACTAACTATAAAATTTAATGTTGTTTTTGAATTTTTTTTTATTTATATGAAACAAAAGAAAGTGAAGATCATGTTTTTAGCAAGAAGCGCTTCCTCCACAGCATCATTTTGTATATACAGATCTCCATATATAGAACGTATACATAATAGGTAATGGGTTGGTGTCGTTCGTGTTGCTCAGTCTTTAACTGTCTATGTTTTTTGTTGTGGACTGCTGCTTGCTTCTTGGTTGTTTTTCGTCTTTGGTTATGGCTTTGTCAGTTCGTTTCGACCTATGAGTTTGATTACCCCTTTGTTAACTTGCGCCTCTCTCTTTAACGATGTTGGGGCCTCGGTGGCCGAGTTGTTAAAGTAGCAACTACTGTAATCACTAGCCAGTCAACACTGAGGTTGTGAGTTCGAACCCTGCTCGTGCGGGTGCACTCGACTCTACTCCTAATTGACTAGGATTGTCAGTTTTCCTATCGAAGGTCGGTGGTTTTCTCCGGGCAATCCGTTTTCCTCCATCAATAAAAACTGACCGCCACGAAATAGCCCAAAAGCGGTGCTTAAAAGTGGCGTTAAAACACCAAAAATCAAAATCAAATCTTTAACGGTGTTTCAAAATGTTTGAAATTTTGATTTTGCCATTTGATTGATAACTTTCCTTTTTGAATTTTCCTCGGAGTTCATTATTTTTGTGATTTTACTTTTTTCATATAAAAGCTTCGTATCGTTATAAAACAAGATACTGTAAACTATACACAAAATTGATAAATGTTTATTGAATGAACAACATCAAAATAAAAAAAAAAAAAGGAAAAGAAATAAAAATATTAATATTTAGGATTACATATTATCATGATTATGCTTAATAAGCATGAACAGTCAGTTGTAAAATGACGTCTTAATGTATGCTGATTTTAAGAAATCTTGAATTAAATACAAATCAAAAACCGTACAAATCTTGTAGAAAAGTAATTTTGATAATTCTGAAATCGGGAAGTACATGCAATATAAATATTTACAATAGACGGGCTGCGTATGTATACATCCCAAAATTGAAACATAATCGAATTAAGACATTAGGCAGATCGACTATTACCAAAATTGACTACAACACAGCTAGGTTGTTAAGGAGAGAGTCAATCGGGAAAGATTCATTTGGGATGCAGCACGCCAATAGAACTGAAAACAGATTTGTTTTCAGAAATATTTATTATTTTTTGTATTCATTTACATTTTTGTTATTAATTTTTGTATTGCACATTGTTAGAAATATCTATATATGCATCAGTTTATTTTCAAACAACCATGTCAAGATAGATTGAATGTTGATTATCATCATATAATAATAATTATCGTAACATTTGATTTATAAAAAAGAAATATTAAATTAAACATATTCATACCAAAAATGTATATAAAGTCAGCTATTTTTACGAATTTCCAGTTTACAATTATTATGTTAGTTCGAAATTTTTTTTTATAAAAAAAACATTATCGTAAAAACAATATATAAAAAAAATTTCAAGAAAAACAGGGAAAATATCTTTACAAATTCATCTGAACCCTTGTTATGTTTTTTATTTTTATTTTTCAGTTACGTTTTGTGAAACTATTAATAAATTGTGTTTTTATATAAAGCCAAGTGACAACTAAATTATGTGTGTATATCAACTTTTCATGGAATTCAATCTCTGGTAATTGTATTTACAGTACTCTGCAAACATGGAAAAAGAACACACAAGAAATCAGGTATGTTGTTTAAAACATACAATACATACCTCTTAACTTTACCGTGATGATATTTATGTGTTAAATGATCAAGAACTCTTTAATCATACTGCGGAAATCTTTATCAAGGAAAATTACTTTAAACAAGTCTAATATAAAGAGCAATATCTGTCATTGTCTACATTTAGATATTTAAGTTTCACAAGAGAAATGTCATACCTAAATTCACGATAAACAATTTTTCGCTCTTTATTGCTGGTTTTCCATTCATGTCGGTGATGGTCGTTTGACCTCATCGTATGATGTTCATATTTCCTAACAATTTGTTTTCCTCGTAACTGTAGTGACGTTTTAGATTTCAATGAGCGTGATTTATGTTTAACTTGAAAATTAAAAAAAAGTCAAGAATTTCGATAACACGACTTACGTTAAGGCAAGAACGTAAATCAGTTTTAGTTTGTGACCCGGATTTGTTTTTATCTCTATCGATTTATGAGTTTCAAACAGCGGTATACTACTGTTGCCTTTATTTACGTTAAATTTTAACTGAAATATTTCATAGATACAAAGATTTGGTTTGGAAGTTTTGTAAAGACACATAACGTTTTATTTTTCTTCCTTTCGTTTTGTTCAATTTTATCTTCTTACTGATTTTTGTTTCTAAATATGTGTATATATGCAATCAATTCTTGATATGTAAATACCTTAGTAGCACAGGTTGCATTCTTTGGGATCCCTGTATTTTTAACAGCCTCACTTGACTAGGAGGAAAATAAATGAGTTTAAACATCAATAGTTTTACATATTTAAATAACCAGCACTTGCTTCCACAGAACCTAAAGGTTTAAGTGCCACGATGCCTAAGAATCAGGCAATGGTGAAAACATGACAAACAAAAACCCACTCAAGTTTACATTAGGTCAAAATGTATAATGGTGCACAAATGTAACATTTGTTTCCTTTTCCTTGTCCTGATAATTAAAGATATAATTCGGTTGAAATGCACTAGAAATTATTAATTAAGGGGAGCTAGCTCCTTAATTTTCTATAATTCTAACCAAAAGATATTTGGAGATTTCTTACATTACCAGACACGCAGAAACGAAAGACCTGCCATTTCTAACTCAGGACGAGAGAACTTCAAAATAGGATGGTTAGTTCGGCGGGTATTTTTCAGCCATGTTTTGAATTCTTCTAAATTGCCTGATTCTAACAAAGACTGGCACTTTATTATCAATCTTAGCAGTCATTTAAGCAATCAGATATAGTGATCTCAGTATATAGAATACATATTATATTTCTCAAAAAATGCGTTTAAAAATTGAGGACGAAGCATACGCAATTGGAATGTGTCATATTGGTAGAGTAGTTTAAGGAGATGATTTAGTTTTCGTAATATAGTTTTGACAATAAGGCAAGAACGTAAATCAGTATAATTTTCCAGTATTCAATTTTCTTCAGATAAGAGATTGCAGAAGACAAGGACATGGTTAGGAATCTTCATCAGTGATCTTGATTTGACGCATACACATAAATAAAAGGAATAAAAAAGAAGAGGGATCATGGACGTCATGTTTTAACATGATGGTGTATGAATGAATGCAGACTTTGGTTTTCTTTTCTTTGAAATATTACTTTGAAGGATAATCGGTTTAAATTATTCTGGTTTTACTTATTACATTTATCTACTATGTTACTTTAACAATGGGAAAAAGTTAGGTTAAACAAGTTCATTGGTAGCTTTCAAATACAAAATCTAATTTCATTTAGATATAATCGTTGCTAACATTCACATTATCATTTTGTTTGATTTTATTTGATGTTGCATTGTGGGGATATACGTAGGTCCATGTTGGCATTTATTTCCGTTGGATTTTTTTTGTATTTGTTATAAAAGATGAAAATAATGAATTTTATGTTTGTTTTTTGTTTTGTTTTGTTTGGTTTTTTTTTATTATTAATTCATATCATACATTCATTTAACTTACCCTCGTTCTTGACATTTATATTATCATGTTGTTTAATTTTATTTGATGTTACATTGAGGGGATTTACATGGGTACATGTTGGCATTAATTTCCGTGGGAGTGATTTTTGTTGGTTTTTGGAATAAAATATGGGATGAATGTTATGTTTTATTTCTTATTTGTTTGTTAACTCTTATTATTATTTAGCTCTCTCACTGCTGACATTTATATAAGTCGAAAAAGAACTGGTAATGCCTGGTAAAAACAGAAAAAAAAATGAAAACCAAAATTCAAACAACAGGTTTCAAAACACAACATAGTAATATTAGGTGCACCAGATGAGTAAACAAATCCTATTTCACATGTGGCATCTGTCATCTTACTAATGTCCTGTTCCGCATGTGGCATCCGTCGTCTTATCAATGTAAGTACATACCGTTGATATATATCATATTCGTAATAAACGATAAACATACTATCAATGACGTTCAATATACCTCATTGGTGATATAACCAACATACCATAAGATGACCATAAAGATGCTTTCCCCAGCACCATCACATACTGAATAGATTAATCGTATCTGCGACATGTCATTTACTTTCTATATACTTAAGCTTAATTCTGATGACTAAAACTGGTTAAAAAGAAATACCTAGTAATAAATCATCAAATGTTGTGCTTATATGTGCTCTTTGTAATAAAGGTGAGGCAGATTTCAATATAAGTTTCTAAGTTATCACGATTTTGAGCGGTCTGTGAAAGTTGAACTATTTCTTCACTGTTGATTCATCTTGCCATTATATATTGTTTATTAAGTAGTGTTTAAATAGTTTTATAACTTGTTGGCAGAGAAATTGTACGATTACCAATGTCCATATATTAAAAAAACTAAACTTAAAATCCATCTAAGACATAATCAGTACATACAAAGCAGGAAACTTAAAAGTCAAAGGAACAGCACTTTTATTTTATTTTATTATTTATCTCAAATCACAGTAAGGCCTTCACGGAGCAAATACTTTCACCACACGTCAAGTTCAAGACGGCACCTATCACCGGTTTAAAGGAATTATTTGCAAACTGACGATCACACCATAATTATGAATTGAAGAACAAAGCTATGGTGTAATATCAATAAAACTAATCTAGCAAAGAAATCAAACATGTATGTCATAATTTAGCCCAACAATCACACTGAGACGTGTTAAAAAATACAAACATTTAGACAACCACGGGGCACATCGAGATATGTGTTAGATAAGTTAATCCACCGGGTGGTCGAAAACAGACGCAACGCACGTCTGGTGTACCAAATTATAATCTTGGTATGTTTGATTAAGATCAGATTAGAAACTAGTGGGAAAAAAACCTGATGATATATCATATATTTCAAAAATAACATTCAGGTTCGTAGACTGCCCAATCTTCTGCTACTATTCAGATATCATCCATCATGCATATCCAGACTACTACTCTTCAATAACCTCCACCAGATACAAGATCGTTAGTTTAGACACAATGTTTCTTTCATCCAATTCATGATGGTGACCGTCAAACTCGTTTACTTATGATTTCAGTCGTTCTTCCTTTTAACTACTCAAAAAAGTTTTCCATTATAACAACATCATTTCCAATTCCACTATACAACATTGTTGAATCGGGGTTTGAACTAACAACTCCAGCGTTGACAGACAAATGATCATTGTAGATAAACAAATTAGTCAAATAACAAAAATATCGAACTCCAAGGAAAATTCAAAACGGAAATTTCCTCAATATATGGCAAAATCAAAAGCCCAAACACATCAAACGAATGCAAAACAAGTGTAACATATTAACATATTAACTATAATCTTAATTACTATAAAAACTATGTCAACAAAGAAAATCAAAATGGCATGTAGACACTCTATAGACAAAGCACAGAAGCAAAAATGAAGGACAAGAATATAAAAAAAAGACTATATCACAAAAAGATATAAACCACTTGTCCACTGAGGTTCCTTTTATTTTTTGCTGGCAACATTTGCAGTAAAATTTGACCCATTGTAACGGCAACTTAATTTGTTAACTTTTGATTTGGTTCAATGGTCAAAACATACATGATGTTAGGATTTTTTTTTCGTTACTTCTAAAATGTTTGATAGGAATAATATTGAAAAAGGCGGACACCAATAAACTAATGTCAAAAACCAAGAACAAGACAAGAATGATTGCCCATATTATGAATAACACAATAACAGGTGGAAAAGGATATGGCACAAGACTAAGTAATAATCAAGTGAAACCTAAAAACAAACATTCTCCAAAACATATATACTTGTCAAATACAGATATTCAAAGATCAGGGGGAAAGGGGGAAAAGGGAAGGGGGGGTCGATGTTTGAGTGGTCTAAGTAGTCCAACTACTGTATCACTAGCATGTCAACACTTAGATTGTGAGTTCGAACCCCGCAAATGCTTGATTCAGATCAAAACACAGAGCACTCACCTACGACATAAATTACGAAAATTTTCCTCAGAATAAAACAATCCTCAGCAAAATACTTGTTGTTGTGCTGTGAAATTAAAATCAGAGGTACATGAAAGCACTAATAACTTGAACATAACATCAATTATGTCCATTCTGTGTTGATTAAAACGATACTATTAAACAGAATAATTTGATTCCGTTAGGGCTTTATCAAACGAAAAGGTAATCTATTCCTTAGGATAGCTAAATAGCAACATATGAATAGTAGAACAATCAAACTTTACTCGTCATATATAGAAATTGACAATGAGGTCCGGTTGAAACAAAACTTTACGACAAAAGAGATGTGTTAGCTCCCCAATTGTAAACTTTCTATTTCTATGTAGCAACATTCCAGCAGCGCCTGCATACGGAGTATATATCTCCCAGTTGCTGCTTATAACATGTTAAAGGAAGCTATGAAACCAAGAGTTCACAGTGATAAAGTTGAAATCATCTTTTCGTAAATTTCACGAATTGGTTGACCGTTATGGAATATCTGTTTCACAGATGACGATTGATATGTTCCAATTGTCGTGACTACAATCCTGTCCCTTTTACTCCGAATGTGACCTACCGAATTAGACTTATCACCGGGTTTGTACTTACATGAGCAACACGACGGGTGCCACGTGTGGAGCTGAATCTGCTTACCGTTCCGGAGCACCTGAGATCATCCCCAGTTTTTGGTGGGGTTCGTGTTGCTCAGTCTTTAGTTTTCCATGTTGTGTTTTGTGTACTGTTGTTTGTATGTAGGTCTTTTTCCATTTTAGCCACGGCGTTTTCGACTTATGAGTTTGAACGTCCCTTTGGTATCTGTCGCCTGTCTTTAACTGTTTTGTATAAAAAAGAGAAAAGTAAGTATAAAAAAGTTTGTTCTGTACCACATGGTATACTAAAATTCAAACAGTTACAAGTATCCTAAGTTTGTAGACAGGGACAAATCTGCTGGAATGCATGCATCAACCATCGCACAACTTATACATTATGAAATCATTTGAAACTAAGTTCTAAACTACCTCAGCCAATGTTTACCTTATATTGTTTATGTTATTCAGTTAAGGTTCCTCTCGGTCTTATAGCTGGTCTAGAATTTATACATCCCTGGTCCTCAAGATGTTGAAAATGATTTTTCATGATAAATTAAAACATTTCAGTAACTAAGTTCAAAACCGCACTAGACTAAAATGATCTTACCATGATTCGTTATGCTGTTTTATTTCCTGTTGGTCCTCTATCTCGTCAAACACCCATTGCTCTCAAATACATGTACTTGGTTTTTTTTTTATTCCAAATGAAATTAAATTTATAACATTCACTATATAGATTAGTACTATCAACCCACTGATCCAACAAATTTAACATTGATAATGATTTTATCTTATTTACAAAATTCATTTACGAAGTTTTACTTTCTCTCACAAGCTTTTAACTGCTGTATCTTGGTCAATGTTTGCGTTTACCAAGTTTATTTGCCATGGATAGAAAAAAGGCGCTATCGCTAATGCCGTTTGAATATCAAAGACAACAAATGAATGTACATTGATATTGAATTACAATACGATTGATATGAGGTACGTATAAATAAGAACATTACAGCATGCATATTCATAAACAGCGAGATTTGGTAAGATAATGCATTCCTCTTGCATACGTTTAGACATGATATATTGTGTGCGGTACGTACCGACTGAGTATTTGTAAACTTTTTCGCTTGTACATTTATATGTGTTGCTAAGTAACTTGTCATTGTGTTCTAACCTTATGCATTTACATTTACTACAAATATTGATTTGGTGGTTAGACTCTAGCTGGTGGATTTATTTTAGAAAAATTAAATACTACTTCATAAATGTGTTGCGTCCGAAGCGCTTTTAAATATGTTCATTCAAAGGGAACGCACATAACAAAGCAATTGAAAACCTTGATGTGTAAGTACCTACACGCGTGGATAGCTATATGACCAAAAGAGGTTTAAAAAGAATCAAACAAAAACATCTAAAATTGATAACTCAAAACTGTCCCGTTGATATGTCTACTATACATACATATTTGAAACTGATGAGAGTATTTTTTTTTTTTTTGGAATGGTGAGGACGTCGTTTATTTTCAGGTGTATAGACATGTTGTAGCTGTTTTCACAAGTTTCACAAGTTCAACATTAATATGATTTTTTTAAGTTTGTTAAGGAACTCGATCCATTTCATCATTAACTGAAATACCGTGATAACGTCTGAAGGGAATGTGGAACCTATATCTATACTATGATAAAACTGTTAGTTTTTAGCTTATAATCTTCAAATTGATCTATTGGTAATCGTTTTTGGTAAATTTATTTTGTCATCTTACCATGTAGATAAGTACATGTAGAACGACACCGCTATATATCGATATACATACTTACACCAGCAGCTATCATTTTTTATTTTACTGGAGTCAAGGGCATTTTAAATTCACATATTTTTATGTGAGATTGACTTATGAACCGCTATTTTTCCAATTTGTGTTTCCTGCATTAATAAACTCATGATCTGGTAAATCACTGTCCCAAATTGAACAAATATGAAAGCTATGATACTAGTGAATGAATTTACAAAACATAAAACTTAGTTCATGATATCCATTTTACAAACACCAGTCCTGTTATA